AATGAGTCTCTTGCAGACAGCATATCGATGGGTCTTGTTTTTTAATCCAGTCTGTTAGCCTGTGTCTTTTGATTGGGGCATTGAGCCCATTTACATTCCGGGTAACTATTGAAAGATAGGAATTTGGTGCCATTGTATTGCCTGTAAGGTGACTGTTACCGTATATTGTCTGTGTTCCTTTCTGGCCTATGTTGCTTTTAGGCTCTCTCTTTGCTTAGAGGACCCCTTTCAAGATTTCCTGTAGGGCTGGTTTTGTGTTTGCAAATTCCTTTAGGTTTGTTTGTCCTGGAAGCTTTTTCTCTCTCCTTCAATTTTCAATGACAGCCTAGCTGGATAGAGTATTCTTGGCTGCATATTTTTCTCATTTAGTGCTCTGAATATATCCTGCCAGTCCTTTCTGGCCTGCCACGTCTCTGTGGATAGGTCTGTTGCCAATCTAATGTTTCTACCCTTGTAGGTTACATATCTCTTCTCCTGAGCTGCTTTCAGGATTTTCTCTTTGTCTATGAGACTCGTAAGTTTTACTATTAGATGTCGGGGAGTTGACCTATTTTTATTGATTTTGAGGGGGGTCTCTGTGCTTCCTGGATTTCATGCCTGTTTCTTTCCCCAAATTAGGGAAGTTCTCTGCTATAATTTGCTCCATTATACCTTCTGGCCCTCTCTCTCTTTCTTCTTCTTCTGGGATCCCAATTATTCTAATATTGTTTCGTCTTATGGTATCACTTATGTCTCAAATTCTGCCCTCGTGATCCAGTAGTTGTTTATCTCTCTTTTTCTCAGCTTCTTTATTTTCCATCATTTCATCTTCTATAGTACTGATTCTCTCTTCTGCCTCATTTATTCTAGCACTTAGCGCCCCCATTTTTTTGCACCTCATTAATAGCCTTTTTGATTTCTACTTGGTTGGATTTTAGCTCTTTTACTTCTCCAGAAAGGGTTTCTCTAATAACTTCCATATTTTTTTCAAGCCCAGCTAGTATCTTTAAAGTGATGATTCTGAACTCTAGATCTGACATCGTACTAATGTCCGTATTGAGTAGGTCCCTGGCAGTCGGTACTACCTCTTGTTCTTTTTGTTGAGGTGATTTTTTCCATCTCGTCATTTTGTGCAGAGGATAATAGATTAATGAGAGAACAAAAGGCTAGCAGAGTAACCACGTCCCCAGAAAATATACTTCAAACAAATCAGAAAAGACCTGAAGCAGTGGGATAAGAAAGGGAAAGAGAGAAAAGAGAAAAAGAAAAAAAAAAGAAAAAGATAAAGATAAAAACAAAAACAAACAAAACAAAACAACAACAACAAAAGAAAAACCAGAATGTGATCAAATATGATCTATATGGTATATAGATCAGTGCCACACACTAGATTTGGGGTGTATTTTGGTCTTTTAGAAGAAAGTGCCTCCCAAAATTTTAAAGAAAGAAAAACTTATATATGTACAAAAATAAGGATTGATATGATGAAGGGATGGAATATGACTGTAAAAATGGAAATTATAAAAAATTTTATAAAAGGAATTGGTAAGAAGTTGTTTGAAAAAAGAAAGAAGAGGATTTAAAAAAGAAAAAAGAAAAAGAGAAAAAAAAAGGGAGAGGATGTGATCAGGCAGGGGAATAGAAAACACCATATACTAGAGATTTAGGGTATATTTTAATCTGTTAGAAGAAACTATCTCAAAATTTTAAAGAGAGAACAACTTATATATATAAGCTAAAAATATGGGTAACTACTATGAAGGGATAGAATATGACTCTAAAAATGAAAAATAAAAATGTTTTTTTTTTTTTAAAGGGATTGATAAGATGTTGGTTGAAAAATGGAAAAAGAAAAATTCAAAAAGAAATAAAAAGACAAAAAAGACAGTTAAAAAAAATTAACTTTACAAGACTAAAGAATCATGGTAAAAAAGCCGTGAATTCTATGTGCAGTATTCCCCTAGCGCTGGAGTTCTGCCGTTCTCATTGATCGGTAAACTTGGTCTTGGCCGGCTGTTCTCCCTGATCTGGGCAGGGGCCTGTTGCCGTGGTTCCCAAATGTCTCTGCCGGAGGCGGAATTGCCCCGCCCTTGCCCCCTCCCAGCTAAGTAATCTGCTCGGGGTTGCTCTCCGGGGCTTTTGTTCCCTGCGAGCTTTCCGTACAGCTTTGGAGGCGGAGAGGGAAAATGGCGGCCTCCCAATCTCCACCCTGGAGGATCCGAGAACTCGGGCCCGCTTCTCAGTGCGCCCCCAGAGAAAAGCCGTCAGTCACTCCTGTCTCCCCGGTCTCCGGCTGCACTCCGTGCTCACCCGGCCTGCATCCGCGCACCTCTATCTCTGGCAACTGACCCCGGGTGGAGTCTCCAAACCCAGCAGATCCCTGCGGTGCACTCCCGCGCACCTCCTCCCGGGGGAGGAAGGTGAGTCTCCCCGGATCTGCCGCTTGTTGGGTCCCTGCTGGAGGAGCAGTGGCCCGACTGTGCTGTGGATCACGGTTTATGGCCACCCCGGGCTGAGAGCCCGCGCCTGGCCGCCGCCTCTGCAGCCGGCTTCCCTGCTCCGTTACCTGGGAGCTCTGCCACACTCAGGCACCCCCGGTCTTTCTGTGACCCCGAAGGTCCTGAGACCACACTGTCCCGGAGGGTTCCACCCTCCGCTTAGCCACCAGAGTGACGTCCCTCAGCGGAGCAGACTTTCAAAAGTTCCGATTTTGTGCTCCGTGGTTCTATCACTTGCCAGAAGCGGCCGACGGAGGCCCCTCCCCCGCCGTCTATCCTCCCGAATATCGCCTCGGATTCACTTCTCCGCACGTCCTACCTTCCAGAAAGTGGTCGCTTTTCTGATGAGAGAGTTGTTGCTCTTCTTTTCTTCAATCTCCTGTTGAGTTTGTTGGTGTTCAGAATGGTTTGATCCCTATCCAGCTGAATTCCTGAGAGGAGACGAAATCCAGGGCTCCTACTCCTCCGCCATCTTGCTCCGCCCCCCGATAATTGTCTTTCTATGCTTGACTTATTTCACTTAGCAGAATCTCCTGCAGTCCCATCCATGTTGATGTAAAAGTTGGGTATTCATCTTTTCTGATGGCTGAGTAATATTCCATTGTATATATGGACCACATCTTCTTTATCCATTCATCTGTTGAAGGGCATCTCGGCTCTTTCCACAGTTTGGCTATTGCGGACATTGCTGCTATGAACATTGGGGTGCATATGGCCCTTCTTTTCACTACATCTGTATCTTTGGGGTAAATACCCAGTAGTGCAATTGCTGGGTCATAGGGTAGCTCTATTTTAAAATTTTTGAGGCACCTCCACACTGTTTTCCAAAGTGGCTGTACCAACTTGCATTCCCACCAACAGGGTAAGAGGGTTCCCTTTTCTCCACAACCTCTCCAACATTTGTTATTTCTTTCCCTGTCCATTTTGGCCATTCTAACTGGTGTAAGGTGGTATCTCAATGCGGTTTTGATTTGGATTTCCCGGATGGCTAATGATGATGAACATTATTTCATGTGTCTCTTAGCCATTTGTATGTCTTCTTCAGAGACGTGTCTTTTCATCTCTTCTGCCCACTTTTTGACTTGATTATTTGTTTTTTGGGTGTTGAGTTTCAGAAGTTCTTTATAGATTTTGGATACCAGTCCTTTATCTGTAACGTCATTTGCAAATATCTTCTCCCATTCTGTGGGTTGCCTCTTTGTTTTGTTGACTGTTTCCTTTGCTGTGCAGAAGCTTTTTATCCTGATGAAGTCCCAAAACTTCATTTTTGCTTTTGTTTCACTAGCTTTTGGAGATGTATCTTGAAAGAAGTTGCTGTGGCCAATGTCAAAGAGGTCACTGCCTATGTTCTCCTCGAGGATTTTGATGGATTCCTGTCTCACATTGAGGTCTTTCATCCACTTTGAGTTTATCTTTGTGAATGGTGTTAGAGAATGGTTGAGTTTCATTCTGCCTGCGGCTGTCCAATTTTCCCAGCAGCATTTATTGAAGAGCCTGTCTTTTTCCATTGCATGCTTTTTCCTGCTTTGTCAAAGATTATTTGACTATAGAGTTGAGGGTCCATATCTGGGTTCTCTATTCTGTTCCATTGGTCTGTATGTCTGTTTTTGTGCCAGTACCATGCTGTCTTGGTGATCACTGCTTTGTAATAGAGCTTGAAATCCGGCAACGTGATGCCCCCAGCTTTGTTTTTCTTTTTCAACATCTCCTTGGCGATTCGGGGTCTTTTCGGATTCCATACAAATTTTAGGATTGTTTGTTCCAGCATTTTGTAAAATGTCATTGCGGAAGCAGACGGCGGTGGCAGGCGGCGGCAGGATGCGGAGGCAGGCAGGCGGCCACGGATGACGGCGGGCAGCAGGCTGCAGGCGCAGGCAAGGGCGGTGGGTGGCAGAAGGCAGGTGGCGGCGGCAGGCAGAGGTAAGCGGCAGCAGGGGGCGGCAGTGGCAGACGGCAGTGGTAGTACTGCCTGGTGGCGGCAGCAGGCAGGCGGTGGCAGGCGGCGGTGGCAGGCAGCGGCAGGGAGGTGGTGGCAGTCGCTGACAGGTGGCAGCGGGCAGCAGCAGAGGTGGCGGCGGTGACAGCACCAGCGGGTGACGTCTATGGCTGCAGCGGCTGCAGGGGCGGCAAGGGCTGCAGGGGCGCCAGCTTTGGGCAGCCCAGGGTCATTGGGCGGCGGTGTGTGGCAGCCTCAGCAGCAGGTGCCATTGGCTTCAGCCGGAGTCACCGGCGGGGGAAGCAGGCGCCCCAATAGGGGCGGGGTCAGCAGCAGGCGGGTCAGCGGCGGCAGCGAGGGTCAGCGTGGGGAGGGGCGCGGGAACGCCGGCGGGCGTCTGCGAGTTACGCGGCGGCGTCTGCGGCGTCAGTGGCGTCAGGGGCGTCAGCGGCATCAGCGGCGTCAGCAGTAGTGCTGGCGTCAGTCGGCTTCAGCGTTGGGCAGCAGCGGAAGCTCCGGGCAGCAGAGGCAGCAGCAGGAGTATCAGCAGCGGGCGGCGGCAGCGGTAGGTGCCGGGTTAGTGGGGGTCAGAATGTGGCAGCGGGAGGCGGTGGAGGCAGTGGAGGCAGGGGGCGGCAGTGGAGGCAGGGGGCGGCAGTAAGCGGTGGGGGCAGGGAGGCAGGCAAGGGCGGCGGGCGGTGGAAGTAGGTAGCAAGCGGCGGCGGCGGCAGGGGGCGGGGGCAGGCAGGCTGCGGCAGGCAGGTGGCAGACAGTTGCAGGCAGGCTGCAGCACTGGGGGTACGCAGTAGCCGCAGGCGGCAACAGGCAGTGGCGGCAGGAAGCGGCGGCGGGCAGGTGGTGGGGGCAGGTAGTGGCGGCCGGCAGGCCCCGGCTAGGGGCAGGCAGGGGGCGGCGGCGGCAAAGGTGGCAGACGGGGGCAGGCAGTGGTAAGCGGCGGGAGGAAGCGGCGGCAGGTGCCAGGGCCAGGCAGCAGCGTTAGGTAGGTGGCAGCGGTAGGCATGTGGTGGCGGTGGGCTGCCGTGGCGGGTAGTGGTAAGTGGCAGCAGGCGGGGGTAGGCGGCGGTGGTAGGGAAGCAGCAGCAGGCCGTGGCGGGCTGCAGGCAGCAGGGGCCAGGCAGGAAGTGGCGGCTGACAGTCGTAGCCGGCCGTAAGCGGTGGCAGAAAGCGGCGGCAGGCGGCAGGGGCAGGTGGCAGGGGGAGGCGGGCCGCAACGGCGGCAGGCAGTGAGGGCAGCAGACGGCAGCAGCGTCAGGCGGCAGCGGCAGGCGGTGGGACCAAGCGGGCTGCAGGGGGCAGCAGCAGCAGGTGGCGGCGGTAGGCAGGCAACGTTGGCAGGCATCTTCGAGGTTAGGCCGCGGAGGCTGGTGGCAGTAGCCGCAGATGGCAACAGGCGGTGGTGGCAGCAAGCAGTGGCAGGCAGGTGGCGGGGACAGGTGGTGGCCGCAGGCAGCAGTCGTAGGAAGGCGGGAATTGCAGCTGTTGGGAGGCGGCAGTAGTAGGCATGCGGTGGTGGCGGGCTGCGGTGGCGGGCAGTGGTAAGCGGCAGCAGGCGGCGGTGGTAAGGAAGCGGCAGCGGGCCGTGGCGGGCAGCGGGCAGTGGGGGCAGGCAGGCGGTGGCAGGCAACGTCAGCAGCGGGCTGCAGGCGGCCGCGGTAGGCAGGTGGTGGTGGTGGTGGCAGGTGGCGGCGGTAGGCACCGGTAAGCGGCGGCAGGGGGTGCGGGCAGGCAGGCGGAGGCAGGGGGACACAGGCAAGGACGGCGGGCGGCGGCAGGCAGGGTTGGCAGACAGGCGGTGGTGGTAGGTAGTAGCAGGCAGCCCCGGCAGGAAGCGAAGGCAGGCGGCAGTGGCAGCAGGCGGCAGCGCGGGCAGGCTGTGGTAAGCCGTGGCTGGCAGTCAGGCAGCCACAGGCAAGGGAGGCGCGCGGTGCGAGGAGGTAGCAGGCGGCGGCGGCAGGAAGCGGTGGGACGCAGGCAGCTGGGGCGGCAGGCAGGCAAGCCCTGGCAAGCGGCAGGCAGGAGGCAACAGGAAGCGGCGGCAGCGGTGTCAGGCGGCAGTGGCAGGAAGCCACGGGAGACAGCGGAGGCAGGTGGCGGGGGAAGGTGGCAGGAGGAGGCAGGCTGCAGCGGAGGCAGGCAGTGGCGGCAGGTAAGAGGTAGCAGGTGCAGGCTGCAGTAAGCAGCGGCTGGCAGGCAGGCCACGGCAGGTAAGGGCCGCGGGTGGTGCAAGGATATAGCAGGCGGCGGCAGCAGGCAGGCGGCGGGGGCAGGCAGGTGGCAGAGAGCAGCATTAGGGAGGTGGCAGCGGTAGGCCGGTGGTGCCGGCAGCGGTGGGGGTAGGCAGGCAGCGTTGGCATGCATTCTTGGTGTTAGGTAGCTGGGCCCGGTGGAGCCAGGCTGCGGCAGCAGACGGCGGTGGCAGGCCGATGGCTACGGATGCCGGCGGGCAGCAGGCTGCAGGCGCAGGCAAGGGCGGTGGGTGGCAGAGGGCAGGTGGCGGCGGCAGGCAGAGGTAAGTGGCAGCAGGGGCGGCAGTGCCAGACGGCAGTGGTAGTACTGACTGGTGGCGGCAGCAGCAAGGCGGTGGCAGGCGGCGGTGGCAGCAGTGGTGGGAAGCGGCGGCAGGCAGCGGCAGGCAGGCGGTGGCAGGCGGTGGCAGGCGGCAGCAGGCAGTAGCAGAGGTGGCAGCGGTGACAGCAGCAGCGGGTGGCGTCTGCGGCTGCAGCGGCTGCAGGGGCGGCAAGGGCTACAGGGGCGCCCGCTTTGGGCAGCCCCAGGTCATTGGGCGGCGGTGTGTGGCGGCCTCAACAGCAGGTGCCATTGGCTTCAGCCGGAGTCACCGGTGGCGGAAGCAGGCTCCGCGATAGGGGCGCGGTCAGCAGCAGGCGGGTCAGCGTTGGCAGCGTGGGTCAGCGTGGGGAGGGGCGCGGGAACGCCGGCGGGCATCTGCGGGTTACGCGGCAGCGTCAGTGGCGTTAGCCGCGTCCGCGGCGTCCGCGGCGTCAGGAGTAGTGCTGGCGTCATGTGGCTTCAGCGTTGTGCAGCAGCGGAAGCTCCGGGCACCAGAGGCAGCAGCAGGCGTATCAGCAGCGGGCGGCGGCAGCGGTAGGTGCCGGGTTAGTGGGGTCAGTATGTGGCAGCGGGAGGCGGTGGAGGCAGGGGAGGCAGGGGGCGGCAGTAAGCGGTGGGGGCAGGGAGGCAGGTAGCGGCAGGCAAGTGTGGTGGGCGGCGGCGGTAGGCGATTGCAGGCGGCGGCAGGAAGCGGTGGCAGGCTGTGGAAAGAAGCGGCAGGCAGGCAGGCGGCGGCGGCAGGCAGGCAAGGGCGGCGGGCGGTGGAAGGAGGTAGCAGGCGGCGGCGTCGGCAGGGGGCGGGGGCAGGCAGGCTGCGGCAGGCAGGTGGCAGGCAGTTGCAGGCAGACTGCAGCATTGGGGGTAGGCAGTAGCCGCAGGTGGCAAGAGGTGGTGGCGGCAGGAAGCGGCGGCGGGCAGGTGGTGGGGCCAGGTGGTGGCGGCTGGCAGGCCCCGGCTAGGGGCAGGCAGGGGGCGGCGGCGGCAAGAGGTGGCAGACGGTGGCAGGCAGTGGTAAGCGGCGGGAGGAAGCGGCGGCAGGCGGCAGGGCCAGGCAGCAGCGTTAGGTAGGCGGCAGCGGTAGGCATGTGGTGGCGGTGGGCTGCCGTGGCGGGTAGTGGTAAGTGGCAGCAGGCGGGGGTAGGCGGCGGTGGTAGGTAAGCAGCAGCAGGCCGTGGCGGGCTGCAGGCAGCAGGGGCCAGGCAGGAAGCGGCGGCTGATAATCCTAGCCAGCCATAAGGGGTGGCAGAAAGCGGCGGCAGGCGGGGGCAGGTGGCAGGGGGAGGCGGGCCACAGTGAGGGCAGGCAGTGAGGGCAGCAGGCGGCAGTGGCCACAGGCAGTGGAGGCAAGCGGGCTGCAGGGGGTGGCGGCGGTAGATTGGCAGCGTTGGCAGGCATCGTCGAGTTTAGGCAGCGGAGGCTGGTGGCAGCAGAGGAGGTGGCAGGTGGCAGGCTGCAGGTGGCGGCGGTAGAAGCGGTAAACGGCATCAGGGGGTGTGGGCAGGCAGGCGGAGGCAAGGGGATACAGGCAAGGGTGGCAGGCGGCAGCGGCAGGAAGCGGTGGTGGGCAGGTGGCTGGGGCGGTAGGCAGCGGTAACTGGCAGCAGCTGGTGGGGGCAGCGGCCCGGTGGCGGTAGGGGCAGGGTCAGCGCTGGGCAGCCAGCGCCAGCAAGCAGCAGGCGGCAGAGGGCGGCAGAGTGGGCCAGCCGTGTCGGCGGTCAGCAGCAGCGTCTGCGATGGGCAGCGGGTGTCAGTGGCGGTAGCTGGGGGCAGTGGCGGTAGCTGGGGGCAGTGGAGGTATGGCTGGGAGCACAGGGAGCCGGGGGCAGCGGCGTCCTTGGAACCCTAGCATGCTGCGGTTCCGAGGAAGAGGTGCCCCTCAGCCTGGTATCTGCAGGGGACACAGGGGGCCACCCAGGACCCAGAGGCCAAGCCTGAGGCGGAGTGCCAAGTCCTGCTTCCTCCCATTGGGGAGGCCAGGTGAGTTCGGCCTCTGCCCTGGGCTTGAGCTTCAGTCTCTCCATCTGTAAAGTGGGCAGAACAGCAAAACCTTAGGGTTATGGTGCAGATTTAATGTAGGTAATGGGTTTCCTCTAGACTGGTTCAGAGTCCAGGTTGTCATTCCTCTTATTCCACTTCCAGCTGTGTGACCTTGAGCAAGATAGGTAATGGCCAGGCCTCAGAATTCTCATCTGAGAGATGGGCCTGCAAAGAGGACCTATATAGGCTTGTTTTGGGGATTTAGTGAAGTAGTACACAGAACCCATTTCCAAAGTCCATGTAAATCATGGGTCCTGGCACGAGATAAGTGCAGTACGAGTCTTTGGGATTAATATCACAGAAGTATTAGTTATTGTTATTGCTAGCACTGGGGAAGGAACACCGTGATTGCCATCCTCATGATTATCATCGTGAGTTAATTGAGGAGCTGCTCTGTGCCTGGCGCTGGCTAAGCATTCTACACCCTTTATCAGTTTGCACATCTCCATGGGCTAGGATCCTGATAGGCCTCTGAGTCTTAGAGACGCAGATAGTGCTTGGAACCAGATTTCAAGCCCTTGTCATTGCAGCTCCAAAACCTGTGCTTCCAACCTCTCCATGACTGGGGCGTATCCGAAACCCTCCTGCCTCTCTGCTTGACTCTGCACCTTACAGCTTAGAATAGGGCCTAACCCAGAGGAATACAGAGGGATAAGTATTCTCTATTTCTGTTACCGTCGTAGTCTTTATTCACTCGCAGTGCTTTATGGGCACAGATGTAACGGCGGTGGTTACTGATTCAGATCAAGAGCTGACAGACCATCCCAACTGAGAGAAATGAGACCCATTTTATGTGCTCCTCTCCCCCTAGAATGACGGTCAAGAGACAGTGATGACTCAGAGGTTGCCAGTGAGTTAAAGAAGTTGGCTGCCCAGCCGCAAGAGCCCGAGTAGACAGCAGCGGCGACCTTTGGTAGCATCTCAAAAGACACCTACACGATGGAACATGCCCAGGGATTTGGAAAACCGGTAAGGCACTTTCCATACACCCTGCATTGTTCTTCCTCAACTTCTTCAGTATCTCCCAGGAACTCCCTGCTTCTTCCTGTACCCCTAAGCGGGATGCAGTGCCCACTGCTCTGGGTAGAGAGGAGCCCAGCACTTTACATGCTGTTCTGTGCACGCACTCACCAGTGTACAAAGCTCTCCTTTAGTCTCTGTGAGGAACAGGAGGGCAGTTTCCCGCACAGATTTGGGCAGGTCCCTGCACTTTCTGAGTCCCCTGAACAATGGTGTACGGCTTACCTGTTTAAATCCAGTTTTGTCTTGGAGTGTTTTACAAGACCTTTTCCTTAGGATAACTTGTAAGATCACTTTCTTTACAACTTCGAAGCTTGTAATACAGTGTTATTAACTATAGCCGCCATGTTGTACGTTACATCCTGTGACTGACTGACTTTATACCTGTAAGTTTGAACCTTTGACCCCTGTCACCCATTTCACACCCATCCCCGTGCCTGTCAACCACCAATCTGACTGCTGTATCTTTAAGCTCAGTTTTTTGGTGGTTTTAGATTCCATATAAAAGTGTTGTCTTAGAGTATTTGTTTCTGACTTCTTTCAGTTAGCATCGTGCCCTCATGGTCCATCCATGTTGTTGTAAAAAGAACGATTTCGTTTTTTGTTATGGCTAAAGAGTATTGCAGTGTCTACATACACCACATCTTCCTTATCGATTCATCCCTCCGTGGACATGTAGGTTGTCCTCCTATCTTAGCTGTTACGAATAATGCTGCAGTGAACATGGGGGTTCAGATATCTTTTCAAATGGGTGTTTTTGTTTTCTTTGGCTAAATGGCCAGGAGAAAAATTGCTGGATTGTAGGCTCGTTCTAGTTTTAATGTTTTGAGGAGCCTGCATACTCTTTTCCACAGTGGATGCACCTACCTACGTTCCCACCAACAGCTCACTGGGGTTCCCTTTCGGCCACATCCTTGCTAACATATGTTATTTCTCATCTTTTTGATACTAAATTTTCTAACCAGTGTGAGGTGCTATCCCATTGTTTTGATTTGCATTTCCCTGATGATTCATGATGTTGAGCATCTTTTCACGTCCCTGTTGGCTCTCTGGATGTCTTCTCTGGATAATGTCCATTTGGATAACCCTCCCACTTTTTAACCACTTTGTTTTTTGCTGTAGTTATTGAGTGTAGGAGTGCTTTATATGTACTGGATACTAATCTTTTTTTTTTTTTTTTAAAGATTTATTTATTTATTTATTTGAGAGAGAGAATGAGATAGAGAGCATGAGAGGGTGGAGGGTCAGAGGGAGAAGCAGACTCCCTGCTGAGCAGGGAGCCTGACTTGGGACTCGATCCCGGGACTCTGGGATCATGACCTAAGCCGAAGGCAGTCGCTTAACAACTGAGCCACCCAGGCGCCCCTCCATACAAATTTTAAAGATTCTTTGCCTTATGTCTATAAAACGTGTTTCGAATTTTGGTTAAGAATTGCATTCAATCTCTAGACGGTTTTGGGTAGTATAGACATTTTAACACTTAATTCTTCTAATCCATGAGCATGGAATGTCGATTTACTTGTGTTGTCTTCCGTTTCTTTCCTTAGTGTCTTACAGTTTTCAGTATATAGGCTTTCACCTCCTTGGTTAAATTTATCTTTAAGTGTTTTTTGGTTTTTTTTAATGCAATTTTAAATATGATTTTTAAAATTTATTTTCCTGTTCATTATTCGTATATAAAAATGGAACATATTTTTATGTACTTTTTATCCTGCAACTTTATTGAATC